CATTTTTCTCCTCCTTTTATCCCCCTCTGCCCTGCACCCTGCTCCCTCCAGCATTACCCCCTCCCCAACTTAGTTCATGTCTAGGGGTTGTGCATATAAGTCCTTTGGCTTCTCCATTTCCTAAACTATTCTTAACCTCCCCCTGTCTATTTTGTACCAACCATTTATGCTTCTTATTCCCTGTTCTCCATTCTCTCCCCCTCACTCCTTACTGATAACCTTCCATGTGATATCCATTTTTGTGATTCTGTTCCTGTTCTAGTTGTTTTCTTTGTTTTTGTTTTTTGTTTCAGTTGTTGATAGTTGTGTTTGTTATCATTTTACTATTCATAGTTTTGATCTTTTTCTTTTTCTTAGATAAATTCCTTTATTATCTTATATAATAAGGGCTTGGAGATATTGAACTCCTTTAACTTGACCTTTTCTGGGAAGCACTTTATCTGACCTTCCATTCTAAATGATAGCTTTTCTGGATAGAGTAGTATAGGTTGTAGGTCCTTGCTTTTCATTTCTTTGAATACTTTTTTCCAGCCCCTTCTTGCCTGTAAGGTTTCTCTTGAGAAATCAGCTGATAGAAAAGTCCTTTGTAGGTAACTGTCTCCTTTTCTCTTGATGCTTTTAAGATTCCCTCCTTATCTTTAATGTTGAGTAAGTTAATTATGATGTGTCTTGGTGTGTTCCTCCTTGGGTCCAACTTGTTTGGCACTCTCTGAGCTTCCTGGACTTTTATGTTTATTTCCTTTGCCAGATTGGGAAACTTTCCTTTCATTACTTTTCAAAAACTTTTCAATTTCTTGCTTTTCCTCTTCTCCTTCTGGCACCCCTATAATTTGGATGTTGGAATGTTTGAAGTTGTCCCATAGGTTCTTAAGCCTCTCCTCATTTTTTATAATTCTTGTTTCTTCATTTTGTTCTGGTTGAATATTTATTTCTTTAGTTTCAAATAATTGATTTGAGTCCCAATTTCCTTCCCTTCACTGTGGCTTTCCTGTATATTTTCCTTTATTTCACTTTGTATAGCCTTCACTTCTTCTGTCATTTTATTTCTATACTTAGTCATTTCTGTGCACATCCTGATTACCAGTGTTTTGAACTCTGTATCTGATAGGTTGGCTCTCTCCTTATTGCTTAGTTCTTTTTCTGGAGTTTTGATCTGTTCTTTCATTTGTGACATATTTCTTTGTCTTGGTGCACCAATCTGGATGAATGTTTCTTCTTCAACTCCTTGGTTATTGGACTTCCATACAGTTTGATTTTCTGGGAGTTCTGGTTGTTTTTTGTTTTTAAGTTGGTTGTTATCCTTCTTTTGGTTGTGTGAGGAAGTGGAGCATATCTACCTACACCTCCATCTTGGCCAGAAGTAGTCAAACTCTGAGCCTACGTTGTGGGTTCCATCCCTGGTCAAGGCATGTGTGGAAGGCAACTGATCAATGTTTCTCTTTCACATTTTGTCCTGGTTTATAGATTGCATCCTGTTAACCTCACTGCTCTGCCAGCCTTCACGGTAGTCTTGAGAGTCTTCAGGCCTCCACCCACCTTCTGATTCCAAAACCAATCCTACAAGTTTTAGAAGTTTCTCACAGCAGCATCACATGACTAGTTGCTGGCCTCTGTTTCAGTTATCTATCACTGTGGAACAAATCGCCTCCAAACTTAGTGGCTTAAGACAACCACCATTGTATTATTTTTTGTGATTTTGTTGGTTGATTGGTCTTAGCTGGGAGGTTGTTTTGTTCCATGTGGTGTTATCTGGACTGTGGAGGTGAGACTGGGCTGGAATGTTTAAGGTGATTCATTCACATGTTTGGCAGATGGTGATGGTCATCAGCTGGGAGCTCAGCTGGCGGGTCAAATGGAGGACCTGGTGTCATCCGTACAGCCTTTCCACATGGTGTGTTTCCACAGTATGGGAAATGAGTTCTAAGAGGAAGGAAGTAGAAGCTTCTAGTCTTAAGTATGGGCCAAGAGGTTCCAGAATGTATTTCTACTGCATTGTGTTGATCAGAGCAGTCCTGGGGTGGGGTGTGCTTAGATTTAAAAGAAGGGAAAATCAACTCCATTTCTCAATGGTAGAAAAGCACAGGTATACAGGAGAGAAGAAGGTATATGTATCATCTTTGGAAGTTATGTATTATGGCAAGGTGACTGGGTCACTTATTAACTTTTCTCAGGAATATTGTGAAGATGGAAGACACCCACTGTTCATTCATTCATCCATTTTCAGCTTTTTAGTGAGTGTCTACTATGTTTTAAGTTCTGTTCCAGCCTTGATATAATGGTAAAAAAAAAGACAAAGTCCTTGCTTTGATGAAAATAAAAATAGTTTAGTCGTGGGAAAATAAAAATCAATAAACAAGAAAAATAGTAGATAGTTGTTGTAGGATGAATCATGCCCTCCAAACCTGTTTACATATGTCTTTTCCAATAAACATGGGATTCCTCCAGAGACCATTCAGCTTCAGTCTTATAGGGGTCTCCAATTCATTAACCCCACCACTGTCCGACACCCCATTATGACCTCACTTCTTATCCACTTCTTAGACTCCGAGGTCCAGAATTTTAACATTCTTCCCTTCGCTCTCTTCCTCTGTCCTACTTCCTGGCATATCCCACACTTAAGTAAACTCAGTTATCTGCTGACTACATGCCTGAACTCAAGCATATAACTTGCTCGGCAAATGAAAGTGATTGGAGTTGATGTGTGTTATTTCTGAATAGAAGCTTCAGAAATCAATGCAAAATTCCCTTCCTTCCTTCCTTCCCTCTCACCCTCCTTTGATTACTCCCTTTCTTCCCCCCTTCTTTCCCTCCCTTCTGTCTCTTTCTTTCTTTTCCTCTTCAGTGTCTGACAGCAATCCAAATGGGGGCTGCGTTATAAGCTTGGGTTCTGGAGTAAGGAGGACTCAGAGTAGGACCCCAAGCTGACTCATGATGGGCATATAGAGTAAGTGAAAAGTGAAGTTTTAGTTTTATGTCACTGACAGTTGATTGTTTATTTCTATAGAACAACCTAACTTATACCTACTGGTGTAGGTGAGTATAAGTCTGCCAGATGGAAAAGACAGGTAAGATTATCACATGCAGAGAGAATATTGTATACAAAAGCACAGAGAAGTCCAGGGACACCGGGGGAGCGGGGAATGTAGCGTAGGTTGAATGGAGTAAGGCTACAGCAATGAGCCTAGAAGAGCAGGTCAGAATTCATTTGTGATGGGTGTGTAATGAGATGATATGGAATTTAAGATTTGTCAGGGAAGTCATTTGGAATCAGTGGTTGTTTTTAAGGAAGTTTAGATTTAGAGCAAAATTAAGGGGAAGGTACAGAGAGTTCCCATGTAGTCCTACACCTAACACATGTGCAGCCCCTCCCTCCCCACAGAGTGGCACATTTATCACAATTGATGGGCCTACACTGACACACCATGATCACCTGAAGTTCATAGTTACATCAAGGTTGACTCTCCATGCTGTACATTCTTTGGGTTACATGTGTCCACCATTATAGTACCACACAGAATAATCTCACTGCCCCCAAAATCCTCTGTGTTTTGCCCATTCGCCCACCCCTCTCTCCCCCACAACTCTTGGCCATACTCCTCTTGTTACTGTTTTCATAGTTCTGCTTTTTTCAGAATGTCATATAATTGGAATCATATAGGATGTAGCTTTTTACTTTGGCTTCTTTGACTTAATGCTAGGCATTTAAGATTCCTCCGTGTATTTTCATGGCTTGACAGCTTGTTTTTTCAGTGCTGAATAATATTTCATTGTTTGGATGTACTGCCATTTCTTTATCCATTCACCCACTGAAGGACAGTTTCATTGCTTCCAGGTTTTGGCAGTTGTGAATAAAATCGTTATACTCATTTGTACACAGGTTTCTGTGTGGAGATAAGTTTTGAACACCTTTGGAAAAATACCAAGGAGTATGATTGCTGTATTGTATGACAATAACATTTTTAGCTTTGTAAGAATCCACTGGACTGTTTTCCAAAGTGGCTGTACTACTTGGCATTGCCACCAGCGGTGACTGAGAGTTCTTACTGCTCCACATCCTGGCCAGTGTTTGGGGTCAGTGTTCTGGACTCCGGCCATTCCGATAGGTGTGTAGTGGTATCTCATTGTTTTAATTTACATTGTCCTGATGCCTGTAGGATGTGGAGCATCTTTCTGTATGCTTATTTGCCATCTGTATATCTTCTTTGGAGAAGTGTTTATTAATCTCCTCTCCAAAGCCTCTTTGGCTTATTTTTTAATCAGAAAGAACCAACTTTTATGAGACCCAATTTCTTCACCTACAAAACGAGAGCCTGGATGCTGCCGCTGCCTTTAATCACAGGCTGCGGAGAGGCTGAGGGTGGGATAGACACATGAAAGCCTTTTCAAAATAACAAGGCTCCAATTATATAGAAAGTATGAATCATGTGGTCGTCTCCCTGACTGTCCCTTCAGCATGATTCTATTCTTTGCTGCGTTACTTCTAATATGTCATTTAAGTTCTAAGACTGTCAAATTAGAAAATTAGAACCAGAAGAGAAAGATTTCATGACCAAAGAAAGATTTCAGCAAGCTCTGGATTCTTTAAGCTCTCCGTGGCTGCTGTAATGAATCGCACAGCTCCCTTCCCAGGGGCTGCGGGGAAGCAGGCTTGTCCCGCTCCAGATGAGGCCGGGGGTGTCGTTGCCTCGGAGAACGAACCAGAAGGGGAACCAGATGAGCAGCAGTTCTGCTCCCTGCTGTGCCCGCAGCCGGTGCCCTACCCCCTGCCAACGGGCGACATAGCTTTAAAAGCGTACACTTGTACAGTGTCTGTTCCCTAGGTGTCTAGGAAGCAGTGATAATCAAGAAAAATGCCCCACCAATTCATATTTTAATATTCTAGAATTCACTTCATATTAGCTACACTGGTAGCTGTTTACCACACTGGCTGCATAAGACTCCCTGGGGGCTACTCCTATACAATTTTGTTCACTTAAAAATATTTGTTTTGTCTTTAACAGGTACTAACCTGGACTCTAGATGTGGGGAGATAGCAACAAACAAAACAAAGTTTTGGCTCCTGTGGGGGTTACACTGAGTGTGCGGAGGTAAGTGATAAACAAACATATAAACATATAACATGTCAGATGGTCAGAGTTCTATGAAGAAGAATACGGCAGAGTGATGGTCACAGAGATGGTGGGCCAGGGATATGTTATTTTAGACAGGGCCTCAGAGAAGACCTGTTTGGTAAGGTGACATGTGACCAGAGGCCTTAAGGACGTGAGAGAAGAAGGCATGTGGACATCTTGGCACCATTTTGCAAAAGGAATAGCAGGGGCAAAGGTTCTGAGGTAGGGGCATGTTTTTTCTTCTTTAAGAAAGAGCAGGGAGGCCAGCAACTGAAGATGAAAAGGTTGGGGTGGAGGGAGACTTAGGAGGTAAGAGCAGGAAGCTGGAAGCTGGGGACAGATTAGTAGGGAACTCTTGGACATTGAAAATAGTTAGGATTTTATACTGAGTAAGACAGAAAGGCACTGAAAGTTTTCAGCAGATGAATGATGAGATTTGACTTTCTTTTCTTGCAAAAAGCTTTATTGTTTCCATTTGGTGCAATGCACGGGTGGGGAGCTTCAGGGTGGTTAAAAGGATGCCCAGGGGTTTCAAGGAGAGTTACTCCTTGGCAAAAGCCAGACACCAGGAGAATGCAGAAGGGTCCTTCAAAGGCCTCTGGACTCCAAAGGCTCCAAGTCGTGTTCCAGGGTGAGCCTTTCAGAAGAGATACTTGCCCAGCCCAGCCTGGGGGCCAGCAGCCTGCGGAGGTGACTCAGCTGGTTGCCCATCTTCTTGATGAATTTGACCTCCTCATCCAGGAAGTGGTTCACAGGAAGTTGCAGAGATGAGGGTCTGCACAGTAGAACTCAGGGCCTGGTCCAGGTTCTTCTCCTGAGTTTCACATTGCTCATCTTGGGTGACTTCAGCATGTCCTAGAAGAGAATGTGGCCACTGCACTGGTTTTTCGTCTTTAAGAGACACTCAGAGCCCTCCCACTTCTTCTCAGCCAACTCTGGGAAGAAGTGGCCCATGTCCTCCAGGGCCACAGCATCCTGGTGGAAATAGAAGCCCAGAGAGAGGTGGGTGTGGGAGGCCCACACAAGCAGGTTGACCAGGTGGTTGACGGTAGCCTCCACCTGGGTACAAAAATTCTGATGAGTATAAGAGCTCATGGTTGTTTGGCAATGAGGAGTTAAGGTCAAAAAACATGTTGGCTGGTCTCAGAGGCTGAGGATGGCAGAGGTTGCTCCAAAGGTGGTGCCTGAAAAAGAGGCTGGGGGTGGTAGGAGGCTAGAAGACGGGGTGTCTGTGAGTCTGCTCTATTCAAACCCTGTTGCAGCAAGAGACAGATCTGGGGGATGGCCAAGGGCACTGCCTGACTTTGGTTTTTAAAGGATCCCTCTTGGCCAACCTGTGGAAGAGCACAGATTATAAGAGAAGGGACAAGAATAACAGAGGGAGACCAGTGTGTACCTGCCATATTTCGAGTGGGAGATGGTGGTAGTCTAGACTTGGGGGCTAGAGGTGGAGAGGTATAAATATCTGTTGTTGTACTACCTCTCCCACCCCTCTGCTTTTAATTTAGAAGATTTAGGATGGGAACTAGGAATCTATATTTTTTAAAAAGTTCTATAGGTGAATTTGCCCTGCCTGGTGTGGCTTCGTGGATTGAGTGCCGGCCTATGAACCAAAGTGTCACTGGCTCAATTCCTAGTCAGGGCACATGCCTGGGTTGTGGGCCAGGTCCTCAGTAGGGGACGCATGAGAGGCAACCACACATTGTTCTTTCCCTTTCTCTTTCCCCTTTCCCCTCTCTCTAAAAATAAATAAATAAAAATAAAAATAAAAATAAAAGTTCTATAGGTGAATCTGAGGCATGGCCAGGTTTCAAAACTAGTGACTGGGGTGAGAAATCCTACCCTCCTTTCTTCCCCTTGGACCTCCGATGCTTCTGTTCTTTGCTCCTCATCTAGCTCAGGGCTTCTGCCTGAGGCCTCTTCCTCAGAGCTCTGCTGTGCTTGTTTTTTTCCTTATCTGTCCTCCCTGGTTGTTTTCTGTTATTCTCAAACTGCCAACCTCCAGGCAGCTGCCCACTCATGCCCTGGAGGTTAAACCACATTGTACCTTGATCTGTCTTCCCCCAGTGCCCTTTCCTTTTATCCTGACATTTCCCTGCCGGAATCTTTCCCAGTTCCGCTCTGCCTCCGGGCTAAAGTTCGATCCACGGCCCTTTGTAGTCTGGTTCCAATCAATCATCGCACCTGTGGGAACATCCCATTGTGCCTGCCCAAAGTCATCCTCAGGGGGCCTACATGATCTCTTTGCCTTGAAGTTTTCATTTCTACCTCTTTCTTCATACAATTTTGTCAGCTGCAGGGATGATAGCTCTCTGTCCTGCCTTACCAAATCCTGCAAGGGCAGTGCACAAGTTTTTATTAAAAACATATTTTTAAAGATGTTTGAATGGTCAGTGCATGCACATGGTTCAAAGTTCAAGAACTCGAAAAGGACATACATTCAAAAGTGACTTTCCTGATACCCACAACGGCCAGCCCGCAGTTCTGCACCCCAGAGACGCAGATCTGCCGGCTTCCTGTAAGCCCTTTCATAAGGATTCTGTCATCCACGGCGGCGTGTGTGTTTGCATCTCATACTTACACGTAACTTACAAAGAGCTCTTATTTACAGGCACATACACTTGCAAAAACAGCCTTTTCTTTGTTTTACTGATCGTAGTCATATTCCATTACTCTGCCTTCATTTTTTTCACTTTATACCTTCATATTGTTCCATACCACTACACACAGAAATGACTTTTCTGTTTCTGAAACCAAACTTTTATTTATTTCTTTTGTGTTATCAAATGATCTCAATTTGGGGGTAGTATTTTTTTGAGGCAAAATATACATAACATGAAATTCACCATTTAAACCATTTGGGTGTTCAGTGGCATCAACTCCATTCATGGTTTTGTGCAACCATCACCTACCTACCTCTGGACTTTTTCATGATCTCAGACTAACCCTCTGTTCCCATCAAACACTGGCTCCCCAACCCCCTCCCTGCAGCCCCTGGCAACCACCATTCTCCTCTATGTCTCTAAGAATTTAACCACTAAGTACCTCATGTAACTGCACTCATGTACTATTTGTCCTTTTGTGGCCGGCTTATTTCACTTGGCATATTTCAAGGTCGGCCCATCTGTGTTGTAGCATGTATGATCATCCCCACCTTTTTAAGGGCTGAATAATACTCCATTGTATGTCTATATCACATTTTGTTTATTCATTCTTCTGGCCCTGGATGCTGGTTGCTTCCTTTTTTTTTTTGGCTACTGTGAATAATGCTGCTATGAAGATAGGTGTATATGTATTGGTTTGAGTTCTTGCTTCAAATCTTCTGGCTATATATTCAGAAATGGAGTTGCCAGATCCCATGGCAATTTTATGTTTGATTTTTGAGGAGCCGCCATACTGTTTTTCACAATGCCTTACTCTTTCACGTGGCGGCTTTATATTCTATCCAAGTATGGTATGGATATACCATACTTTTTAAAAACCAATCCTATGCTGATGGATATTAAGAATGTTTCCAGGCTCTTGCTATAAAAATATTGTACTAAAATTTCTTGAAAATTTTAAAATAGTTTAATGTATTTTAATAGCAAACTCACAGAAACAGCACAGAAGGCAGACAACATTAAAAATATGCTTGCATATAAGACAATTCAGTTAGAAAAGTATAGTGAGTGAATGGAATACACTGAATGATAAAAATGCTACAAACTCCATTTAATAGCCATCAGTAAGAAATTTACTTGTTTTTAAAACAATCCAAATGCTGGCATTGTCCGGAAACATTTAACAGGTTTATAACTGTTATGAAGTCGAACTGCTGAAACTTGTTCACTGAAACACTTCGACTTGCATTTATGCCGTATGTCCCTGCATTTATATTTTAAAATTCACAGGCAAATGAAAATGGAAAAACTGCCAATACCTGGTTTCTGTCACCTATTTTCCACTTGCAACATTATGCTTAGATACATTTTGACCCCAGAGGGAAAATCTTGAACATTCAGAAGTAACAATAACAGGAAGAAGAGACTTTTTTAAAAGAATGAAATGATTCCCATCATACCGAATTCTTAAGCACGTTGTCCGCATATGGGGCTTGCTAGCTGGATGTTTTTGGGCATCATTGTTACACCTCTGCCATGGACAACACACCGGTTGGTGTCTTCAAAAAGGCCAACCAGGTAGGTCTCACTTGCCACCTGCAAAGCCCAGTAGCTGTGCTCTGGACGCACAGATCTGTTTGAAGTCCCAAGCAATTTCTCACACCAGGCGCTGGAAGGGAAGTTTGCGAATCAGAAGTTCAGTGGACTTCTGAACACGTCTAATTTCAGGAAGTGCCACGGTGCTGGGCCTGACACAGTGAGATTTCTTCATCTGTCCAGTAGTGGGCGCCCTCTTGTGAAGATTCTTGGCACAGAGACCTCTTTACTGACTCCCCTTCTTTAGCGGCAACTCAGGAGGCGACCCGGGTTTAGAGAGTGAGGGCGCAGCAGTGGCTGCGAACAATGAATTCCTTGGAAATTTTTGTTTGTCTACACGGAGAGGTATATCTGTGAGATAAATTCTTAATGCAGTTTTTGCAGAAAATATGTTTTTCAAAAATAGATTTTATTGTTGGAACAGTTTTAGGTTCACAGCAAAATTGAATGATGGTGTAGAGATTTCTCCTGTGCCTCCTGTCCCAAATGCACAGCCTCCCCCACCATCCGCATCCCCCATGAGAGGGGTACATTGGTTACAACTGATGAACCTACACGGACACATCATAGTCACCCAAAGTTCGTAGTTTGAGTTTGGTTTCTCTCTCAGTGTTGGTTTGGATAAATGTATAATGACAAGCATGTACCACTACAGTACCATACAAGGTATTTTCATCGCCTCCCAAATTCTCTGGGTTCGGCCTATTCACCCCTCCCTCCTGCTAGCCTCTGGCAACACTGATCTTTTCACTGTTTCCATAGTTCGTCTTTTCCAGA